GTGCTAAGTAGCACTCAAGCACCTGAATGAAAAGGAGGGCATCCCTCAGTTAACTGATTGTGCAATTGGCTGCTTGCCAATCCCAGTCCAGGCACAATGGGATGCAAAGGAGCTTTCCCAGGCTACAGTCTTCAGAGGAAGGACAACCACTTCCAAAACAGTCTGCTTTAACTGTAGCCTGGCCATCTCTTTTTTGGACTGATGCAATGCAACATTCAGAGAGCAGTCAGAGTATTCACTTGGACTCCTGCAATTCTCAAACAGCTTGCAAATACCGAGGTCTCCCCAATGATGTTTGTCCTTGCTAAAGCCATGGAAGGGAATCATACACAAAGATAGGCCTCCTTTGCCTTGGAGCCTTCTCTGGCTGTATCTCGTCCCTTCTCCTTCATGCAGAGCAATGCAGTCTTTTGTTCAGCTAGGGGTGGGGGGAGGGAAGGAACAAGAGGCCCTCAAATGATGGGAAGGAAGTCTTGCATGTTAGATGCACTTGCTATGCATTCCTGGACAACCACAGTTTGGGGAAAGAGAAGCTGGCTAGCATCTGGCTAAATACTCTTGATTGAAAACTTGAATAGCACCAGGGAAGTAGAAGAACATTAATATAACCAACCAGCCCCCATGGATTGAAGAGTTACCCTCTTAAAGAGCGCGGATTGGATTATGTTTAACTGCCAGTTTCTTGGGGTAGCTCACAGAGAATGGGGTGTGTGAGGTGGGGGAAGAGACAGGAAAAGATGTGGAAGGAGGCCAAGTGAAGGAAAACATATACTTGAATAGGGTGCAGCTAGTTCAGATGTGGTTCAGCTACCATGCAGACAAGAAGGGAGAGTTGGGGGTTTGTGTCTAATTCAGATCTGCTCAAAGGGACCGTTTGCGATGGCATCTCCCTCAACTTTGCTATGAGGATGACCAGCATCAAGGCACAAAAAGCAGCTGCATAGTGACCCCTTCCCCTCCAGGAACTCATAATAACCTCACAACAACCTTGTGAAGGTGTCTTGCTGCTCTAGGGAATCCCAGGCAGGGATCTGAACCCTGTTTGACCTCTGTTATGGGTTGAGAGTGGCACTTGACCTTCTCAAAGGCCTTCTTTCTAACATCGGCTGGTCTACCTCCTTCTGACCAATCCCATCTCCAGAACAACTGATTACCCTTCAGAGATTCTATTTCTCTCCTAAAATCTTAGGTTTCAACTAATCTCAAACATCACAGTGAAAGAAACACCTATGAGTTAGGGTGGGTGGGTGATAGCCCTTGCCTGTCCCCTGGTGGCCATAAAATACCACCATACCTGTCCAATCCCATTTCTTTTTACTCTTTCACAAGAGTGAAATAAAAATCAGCAAATCCAAGAAACTTACTTTTGAATGTAAATCAGGATTCCCAACATGTACTGGTCCACTTCAAGCCCTTCCAACAAGGCTGTTTTACTGAGTGAAAGAAGAAGAAATAAGAGGGGTGGGAGTAACCATATGCAATGCTCTGACAGGCTGCAGCTGCAAAATTTCAAAGCATAAACCTTATAGAGGAGGGAGGTGGGGGTGGGTGCAACTTTTGGCTGTGGAAGTTTTTAAAGGCAAAAACAGAACAATAACTGAGTATATAGTCAGACAGACACCTGATTATAATTGTAAAAAGGGCAAGGATCTTGGGACAGACTCTTATCCCCTCGGGACTTTGTCGGGAGGTAGAGCCCAGCCCAAGAATTAATGCTGGGCCTTGGTGCTGTTGTCAGTCAACTGCCAACCTTAAAGTGTTCTGTTTTGTCGGCAGCTCTTGACTTCAGCCCAGTAGACAGCCGTGCCACTGAAGAGGAATGGAAGAACTATTGCTTTTAGATCTTGTTTTAAGAAGTGTCCACCCCAGACTGGCCACAATAAACAGCTACAGAAAAAAAATCCACAGCATTTCCTCCCAACCTTGGGAACCTTAAGATGTGTGGGCTTCAACTCCCGGAATTCCCTAGCTGACATTCAAGTCCACGCATCTTAAAGCTCCCAAGGTTGGGAGTAACTATCACAGAGGTTTTTTCTCTTGTATGCTGCTTTCCTAACGAAAGTCCTTTCTTGGATTTAATATCCCAAATGTCTTTGTTTTTGCCACAGCCGCCTCCGATATAGATGCTCACTTGCAAACAGGACATCTCCACGTTCCCCTTTCACAATTTAGCTGCAGATAGGATTCCAAGTCGAAGCACTGCGGAGAGAAAGAAAGCAGGACTCCATTGGGCAAAAGGCATTAGAAAACAACTCCAAAGGCTTTGGGGACAAGGGCAACTGTCCTAACCCTAACCCAACCTGTACTGGATCCCCTGAAAGCTTCCCCTTCCACAAGAACCAATGATTGGGGTTTTCTCCCTCTCTTCCTTCAACCGCCCATCTCCTTTTTTTTGGCAGTTCATTCTTGCTGCAGGTCTCTGATCCTACCCTTCTCTGTTGGCCAGAGGGTAGCAAGACTTCGGAGCTGATCAGAGACTCACCTGTATGTGCCGGCAGTCGTGACCCCTGGCGGGAAGCTGGATTCTCCGAAAAGTAA